TCATGACTTGGTTTGATTGTATGTGCATTGATTTTTATCCTTGTTTTTATTGTGTTGTGTATTTTTATGCCCAGTAGTGCCGAGTGACTATGAGGTTACAGTAGTCTGCATATTAATTGGGACAAGGCTGAAATATGACATTTATTTGAGAAATTATGTTAATTTGAAAAATACACAGCAGTGATATGACAGATAATTGATTTAAAGAGATGTGACTACCCTTTGTTTTAAGCATTGCTACACGCTATGACGTCAATCTACCAATGTTGAACATGTTTTCGGAAATTCTTCGTTGTGGCATCAGGCCCTAATAAAATCAGCAGTTAGCTTATCCACAGTTAATCGTTTTGTGATCCTGTTTGGTTATTGCTCATAGATTTTCATTTGGGTTGAGGTAAAGAGTTTCCAGGCAAATGTAGAATGCTTAGCCCAATCTCTTTGAAGATTGTCAGCATTTTTCTGGAAGTGTGGCATGGAGCAAGATTCTGCTAGTAAATGCTTTCTCCATCAGGAAAGTGTGTCCACAATGGGAAGCAAATGAGTTGCCAGGATTGCCTTATATTTGTCACTGTTCATTGTTCCCTCAACAAGAACAAACCATCCAGGGTCGTTAGCATTAAAACTACCCCAAAACATTTTAGTTGGGTGTTTTGGTGTCTTCGTTGTACATTTGAGGAATCGACGTTTATGCCAGCTGAAGCCAAATCTCTGTAGATCTTTCCTGGTTTTCTTGGGATCCTTGATGCTATTATGATAACTTTTCATCGTGAGGTGTTATCTTGCATTTTCTTCCACATCTTTGATGTGGCACTCCACAATGTCATCACCTTTCTTAAGAATTTTTGTCATTCTGTCTAATACTCAAATCAGCATGTTTTCTAAGAGCTACAATACTTGCATGCTTCCTAGGTGTAATATCCATTTTGAACTGAAGGAGAATTTGGGACATCCACGTTCACTCATGGAGCACGCTTGCAGGAATAGCCCTACAGAACAACAGCTGTTTTAGCACTAACAAGAGAAGCAGGGTAACACCAGACCTTTGATCACTTGAAAAGCTACATGTCTTAGTCTGAATCTACTTAAAATTTTTACTCACTCAGAAGCTGGTGGCCAAGCACATCTTTTGCTTACATTCAACCCTGATCTTGGTTAAATTAGGTTGTGGACCAAGGATATTCCTCTCCATCCTCAGCTACTCAAAAAAAAAAAAAAAAAAAAAAAAAATGTCATCCAGGATCAAGTTTGTTGATGGGCTTTGGCCCTACCCAGCCAAAAGACGAGGCAGAACCAAGTTCCAGTCTGCAGAATCGCCACGATGCCCATTACCTTCAGTTTGTTCACCTATATGACCTTCACTGTCTTCAGATATCTGAAGGGTGTTGTCAGTATAAAATTAATTTGTTGCAGCCTTCAACTTTTGTTTGAGCTTTGGCCAAGTCTCTTAACTTCCCCTTTCCCCCTCTTTATCCTGTTTCAAACTTTTTCCCTCCTTTCTTGGGAAGCTAACAAGGTAAAGGTTTGCTGCTGCTCCATCCATACCCAAAGGCTCTCATATTTAGTATAAAGGTGCACGCTACCATGTTTTTATGCCATTTCAATATACTCAGAATCCAAATACCCAGCTAGAGTAGGGTATGCAGCTGTTTTTCCAGATATTAATTAACCCATAATTAAACGGTCCAAATGTATATATACGTTCACACGCGTAGCGCCCCAAACGTATATATACGTTTTCTTTGTCATTCATTCAACATTGCCACAATAAGCCTGAGTCACCTAGACATGAGAGAATGGGTGTGCGCACTCACTGTGCGCCATATTAAAATAATTGGGGATGCCTGGGTACCATATGGTCTTTTTTCCTTTTAAAAGAAAAGATTTTTTTTTTTTTCCCTCAAAATTTGGGGCGCTACGCGAGTGAACGTATATATACGTTTGGACCGTTTAAGGGTTAAAGGACATTACTAGTCTGCCATCAGTTATTGTGCTGTACATGTATTCACTCGTTTCTGCTTTCACATTTATTGAATTGGTATTCAGCCTTTTGCTGTTTCATTCCCAAACTGTATTACAAGCTCTCCAGAAGTTAAAATTTCCTATATTCCATTGCATTTCATATGCAGCAATGGCTTGTCACATTTCTAGCAAACGCACAAGTCAGTTTTTGCTGGTTACTTGGACACTGATGTTCATGGCATTGAACACACAGTCTTGGCTATTCAATCAACTGTTAATTATGCACCACTATCCCATAGGGAGAAGGGGTCTGTTTCTTGAAATGTTTTTGGTAACATATTCTCCACAACTCTGAATCCTCTGGCAATAGTATTGGTCAGTGTTAAAGAACACAAGAGTATGTACTACTGAACAGAGGAAAATCCACCGTCAGTGAGGTAAAAGGCTCGGTTCCCTAAGGTACTGTCCTGGCATTTCTGTATATCCTGATAGTAGCAGACATTAAAACACCCAACAGTTTTGTATAATTTGTGGATGACACTAAAATAAGCATGGAAGTCACTTAGAAGTTTGAAAAATTCCAGGAGGATATAAGCCGGATTTTCCAGCTATTTTATTTTCATATAGTCAGACTTGAGTCCTGGAAATGGGAAGTACACTGCCTGCACTTTAAAGGAGGGGTTTGGGATATTGGCAGTTTGGAGGGATATGTTGTGTATCTTTATACGTATATGCTTCTAAACTGTTGTATTCTGAGCACCTCTGCAAAAGCAGTGATAATGTGTGAGTGGTGAAAGTGTTGAATGATGATGAAAGTATTTTCTTTTTGGGGATTTTTTCTTTTTTTGGGTCACCCTGCCTCGGTGGGAGACGGCCGACTTGTTGAAAAAAAAAAAAATAAAAAATGTTCAAACTGCCTACATATGGAAAGAGTGAAGAGCTAGAGGGATAATGTATACAGAACTCGAGAGAACCATCAAATAGAACAAAAGGAACACGTGGAAGACTTGGGATTAATTATGTCAGCTGACCTTTCTTTCAAAGAACACACTTAGGCAAATGTCACAACAGCTAGGAAGATGATGGGGTGGATAATGAGAACATTCAAAGCAAGGCAAATGGTGCCAGTGATGGTGCTTTTGCTTTTATTTGGAATAATGCTTAATGCTCAAGTGTTGACAGCCTTGTTCAGGGCAGGAGAGATAACAGCTGGAACAGAGATCATTTATTGCCTGCGTAGATCCAATGAAGCATTTGTTACTGGGAACTCCTTAGTCCTAAATTTGTACTCCATAGAGTGGAGGAGAGAGATGTGATGTATACCTGGAAAGTACTACTCGAATGCCTTGTCCCGAACCTGCACACTGCCATGATAAAGTGGAGTGAAATATATGGTAGGAAGTGTAAAATAAACCCATTGACAAGCAGGGGCACCATGAGCACAATAAGAGAACATTGTATCAACACCTGGGTTCCCAGACTATTCAATATCGTACCAGAAGGTATCAGAAACACTGCTGGGACGAATGCAGAAGTCTTTAAGAAGAAACTGGACAAGTATCTTTACTAGGTGCCAGATCTACCAGGCTGTGATGGATATGTGGGCCACCAGCAGCAACAGCCTGGTTGATCAGAAAAGTACCAGACAGCCTGGTCCAAGGCCATGCTCTGGGAGTTGGAAAAACTCAGAACAGATCAAAGGTACCAAAAAGGTTTTCCATCAAACCACAACCGAATTCCTAACCAACTTACCATCGGTGTTCGTTGTGGGGAGCTACAGTCTCATAATCATTAATCAGCTGTCAGCATTGAGTGATTGTTACAGTAAATTGGAGGGAACCACCATGTCACTGTGAACACAGGCGAGCTAGTAATTCATTGTACTTTAATTGACTGTCTCCTCTCAGAGCGCACAATTCATTTCAGATATCTGCAGTGCCCTGGTACATGCACTCTGACCTCTCCAAAAGCTCCACCTTCAAGGCAAACTCCTTCCTTGGCTTTTTAACAAATTATCCTGTTGCATCAACCTTGACATTAATTTTGTGCTTGTACTAACCCTCAACTTCACTAATCCCCACCCTTGCACATCACTACACTGCTGCACTGTAAGACTAGTGTGGGTTTAGCGCTTGTTAAAAATAAATATATAATCAGATGTCATTCATCAATGTTATTAAGATGCAACATTTCTTAACTTTCTTTTGTTGGATCTTGTGGACTTGTAGAAAGAGCTGCTGTAGTCAGCTGGTAGACAGCAACTATCCAGGGAGGTACTGCCCTTAGTGTAACTTAAAGCTCTTAATTTTTATACTAGCAGGATTGCTGGTTTTGCATTTGTAGTCTGTGGGGTCCATGCTTGCCTCCCTGTGGTGTATAAAAATATATCTAGTCAAATGAATCTTCTTGTAACCAGCTGGCCTAGTGGCTTACACACTGGCCTGGAGTTTTAGGACACTCTTGTGGGTTCAGCCCTCACCCATTTCATGTTTTGTTTGGGATTGTGTTATTGTGATTTTGTGTGTCCATTTGAACTGTAATATGGCAGGTAAAAATGACACCTTTACTTGCAGTCATTATATAGTATGTATTTTTTTTTAAATATCACCAGCCATTGTCCACTGAAATAGTGTCTCCAGAAATGGAGATCTGTACTATCATCCATTTATTCATTAGGTGTCTTGCCATAAGTGCACAGGTATCAGTGTAGTATATGTATCAGTTCAAATGACCTGAGCTGCATCCCCCTATAATAGAAGCCTAGTTTAAAACTGGGTCATGGACCCTAATCCTTGGAACATTTAAGATATATGTAACAGCTTGTTCTAGAGATCATTGCTCTCAGCTCAGTCTCAAACCAATTCACCTAATTCATGGCTTAGTGTAGTTTTGTTTTTTGTGAGAGGATGATGTGAAGTGGTACATTGACATTATCTTTTGAATGTTATTTGTATATCCTGCCCTTTGTTATTTGAGGTTTTATATTTATTAAATAAGCATTGGTAAATGCAGTTAAATATAAGTTATATTCTCTTTTTCAGTTTACCCCTTCATGAATGGGGATGTCGCCAAACAGTATTGTGGGGTGTGCCCCCCAACACCTGATACTCCAGGACCCATGGCAGTAGAGTCTCCTGTGGAGGCCACTGCCTCCCTTACTAACACACTGCCTGTAGAGGGAGGCACCACTGCAAGTCAACCTCCAGGAAAGACTGCTCCGGTTCCCAAAACAGAGGAAATGGCGGCGGCGGCAGTAGCAGCAGCAGCACAAAATAGTGAGCAAGATGAGCCTGTAAAATCATGCACTCCCCTCAGTAGTACACAGCAGAATGGGGAAGTGTCCCCGGAGAGCAGTCAGTCAAGTGCCTCCTCCCTTCCTGCCTCACTGCCAACCCCACCTCCTAGTAGTAGAAGCAGTCTCCCTGAAATTGGCAAAGATCCAGAAAAGAAAGAACAGTTGTGTGAAAAGAGTAAAGAACAACTCACCTCTAGTGAAACGCAGGGCACGCAGACTACACCTGCGCAGACACCCACACCAAGTACGCCGGCAATCACTCCACCTGTACAAGCACAGCAGTCAGTTCAACAGACTCAGCCACTAAGCCGGGACCAGATAAAGCAGCTGGTAGCTCAACAGGTTGAATACTTCTTTTCAAGGTGAGTAACCATTTAAATTGTATGTGTACTGTACAATGTATTGTATTTTATTTTTGAATACTGTATTACATCTTAGGGTATTTTTGTTCTCGTGCATCTACATCTAGATAATGAAGTCGCATCTTCTGTATACTGCTGCAGTATTTATCTTAACTTCCAAATTATACAGTATTGTGAAATTTGGCAGTTACTTGAACGTGTCATATTGAGTTTCAGGGAATATTTTAATTCAGTCAAGGATTCGTTTTTGCAGAGTCCACACTTTGAATTAGCTGAAGAAAATGAGCCAAGTGAAATTTACCTTGTAAAACCAACTATCTGAGGGATGAAGCATACAAGTCAGGGCAGCATGCTAACTATATTACATCAGCAATAAATAAACCTTGAGTGTTGGTTCTGTGTGTGGGTGTGTGAGATTCACAGGGAATTCACTTATTTAACGCTAGCTGTCTCCCACCGAAGCAGAGTGACCCAAAAAAAAAAGAAACATTTTTAATATTCACACTGTCACTTTAGCCAGAGGCATGCAGATACGACATTTCAGATGTCACTCCAAACAGTAAATATCCCAAACCCCTCCTTTAGAGTTCACCCATTTCCAGTAATTTAAGTAGTCTTTTGATGGATAGGTGAATTGTAATTAATTCCTCTTTAAGTTCTCAAGGTCAGCAGCATATAAATGTTTTTATTTAAAGTTTCTCTGTCAACAGTATTCCTTGCATAGTATACTTGTGTATATACTTTATTTCTTAGCAATATTATAGGCAGGCTCCCAGGCCAAGCCTGGTCATATGACCAGGCTTGGCCAGGGAGCCTCCCTATAATGTTGCTGGTAAATATAGACATGTATACATATACAGTATACTACACAATACTGTTGACATCTTAGTCATTTATTTTTATTACTTTGGCCAATATTATTCCAAACATCTTAGCCTTGCACAGATTGTGGATTGCCATTAAGCCTTTATTTCTTTGTATCTTATGTTCACTAGTAGGGGATATGAATTAGTCCCACTTTTTTCAGAGAAAACCTGAGCAATGATCCATACTTGATATCACAAATGGACAGTGATCAGTATGTGCCAGTGTTTATATTAGCCAACTGTTCACAATTCAAGAATATCACGAAGGACCACAGCATCATTGTAGAGGCTCTTAAAGGTATGTAATAAATTTTGTTAGTTTGTACATTTCACATGTTCTCTGAGAATGTTCTGAAGTTAATCTGGCCACCCCTTTAAATACTTTAATGTTATCTGCATGTTTTTCCTGGTGATCATTATGAAATGTTAATCATTAGCTTTGATTACCTGAGGAACACGGTGTTAATAATTACATTATTAACACCCGATGAAAGGGTTATTTTGTTAAATTTCTTAATTTTTACTTGGTGGGTTTTATTAAAATGGTTCATTGTCTAGTTTCCGTTATAGCTTCCTCCACACAGTTGGTGTTAGTATCATAAGCCTTGTTCCCATTTGTAACTTCTTTCACAAGGCACAGTACTGGCTTCAATTCTTATTATATATCTGATAGGCTTGAATCATAGCACTGTATCATTATTTATAGATGTTAGAATTTGTGTATGAATGGCATCCATTGAGGAAAACAGTGGACATTAATGTTCAGGGAAGGCAAATTTCAGTTGCTCCATTATGGAAAGTGAGGAAACGAAAACTGGAATGAAGTATGAAACTTAAAGCACTCACAGTAAGTTATGGGAGAGACTGTCATAATTTCATCTCTTCCTGATTACCATCGGCCTCTTGGTTTATTAGGTAAGACAATTCTCAGGCTTCATGCAGTTGTGATGCTTGAATTCAGCATCTGTCTAGATAGCCTCAAGGCTATCCATGTCGTACATAGTATGCACAATTTATAACATAGGTGATACCACCTACAACTGCTGCACCTCTCCTGCCTACAGTATATAAGCCGCCACTTCGAACATATGCTGTATTCTTTTCAAGATTGATGGACTGATTACATCAACTGAAGGGTGAGGGACTGATTACCTCAAACTACTACTATTCTTCACCATTCTCCTTTGTATGGACTGATGAAGCCACTGTGTTGCACATGTGTCTGATTTATCAACTTGTCGGTTCTCTGAACCATTCATCTACAGAAGATTGTTGTTGGTTTAAGACTGGAAGTGGCCTCAAATAGGCATATTTTCTTGGTAAAAGATGGTGGGGGCCCCTTATCCCCCTCTACCCAGTCTTACATAGTTTTTATGGCCTAAACCATAATTGGATATTTTTGGTTATAGTTTATAAACTGAGAAATAAATGTGCATGTGTGCACAAAAATGGCTTCAAAATGGAGCTCAAGTGAGAGGCCTGAGAGATGTGATTAACCCTTTATGGTCAGAATCCCTGATCTGTTACTTGCTCTCAGGGTTGGAAAATTTTCAGAAATATTTTTTCTTGTGAAATATAAGAGAATATTTTTCTAAAGGTAATAAAATCAAAAGTACGAAATTGAATGAAAAACTTGAGGACTTGCGGTCTCCTGTTGCAGAGTTAGCAATCTTGATGATTACGCATTGGCGATTTCACCCCCTATTTTCGGCAAATTCCATCGTTCCAGTCAACCAGATGCATAGCTATTTCACTAGTACTCCCTCTGTTCTATCGATTGAGTACAAAATACTGCCCATTTACCTATTTTAACTACCCAATAAAGTGACCAGAAATTGGTAATTTTGCCAGTTTCAAAATTGGGTCCAGAATAAACAGTATAGACATTCCTGGCACTAAAACAAAATTTCCTGTTCATTAGTCATGTCTGCAGGCTTCTATTACATTTGCTTTCCATTTTTAATTTTTATTCATCCAAAAAATAGATTTACTGTTATGTAGATTACTGTTTTGTTGTGATAACTGTATAAATAATATCAGCACATTAGTGAACATGTATTTGACCAACCAGTTGGACATGTATTGGACAAGTGACATGATTTGTCCTCTGGAATCTGCAAAAAATTTATTGTCTGTTATTTTGAGCTGCTTTTTATTTTTTTATATTTTTAAATGGGTGTGATGTTGGAGTATGACTGGGGTAGCCAAACTTGAGTCCTGGAAATGGGGAAATCAGTGCATGCACTCTGGAGGGGGGGGGGATGTTGCAGCTGTAAGGGTAATCTGATTGCAATGTTGGTGAATGTGATTTGGACACCATTCCTTGGTGGAAGAGAGTTGGAGAGTTAAGAGAAACAAATTTTCTGCAGAAGGTTTCTGTATTGGGTTGTTGGTTGTGTATTTCTGGGTTGAACACAGCATATGTATGTGTGGTATAGTACAAATTTATTAACCCTTAGACTGTCGCGGCCATATATATACGTCTTACGAGGTACCGTGTTTGACGTATATATACTCAAAATTCTAGCGGCTTCAAATCAAGCAGGAGAAAGCTGGTAGGCCCACATGTGAGAGAATGGGTCTGTGTAGTCAGTGTGCACCATATTAAAAAAAATCCTGGAGCACGCAGTGCATAACGAGAAAAAAAAAAACTCCGACCATTTTTTTAATTAAAATGCCGACTTGTCTATTTTCGTATAGTATTTATGGTTGTATTCTCATTTTCTTGGTCTCATTTGATAGAATGGAAAACATATTATAGAAATAGAGGTAATTTTGATTGATTTTACTTTAAAAAGAACCTGGAAATGGAGCTCAAAGTAGGGGAAATGTTTGATTTTTGCCAGTGTTCAAAAGTAAACAAATGATGTCATTGTCCAATAAATGTCCAACTAGCCATTCTAATATGCAGTCATGAATGGGTTGATGTTATTTATACAATTATTACAGTATTGCAGTAGTCTGCATAATAGTAAGTCTTCTATTTTTTGTTTGAATAAAAATTCAAAATAGAAAGCAAGAGGAATATCAGAGGGGCCTGGAGACATGACTGATGAACAAAGAAAATGATATTTTAGAGCCAGGAATGTCTGCATTGTTCATTCTGGACCTTATTTTGAAATTGTCATATTTTTTAATTTTCGTGAAAATGGCCAAATTGCAAATTTCTGACCACATTATTGGGTAGTTAAAATCGGTAAATGGGCAGTTTCTTGTACTCGGTCGATAGAGAAAATGAAGTTCTAAAGAAATAGATATGAGTTTGGTCGACTGGAACAATGGAATTAGCCGAAAATAGGGCTCAAAGTGGGCGAAATCGCCGATTTGTAAATATCGCCGAGGTTGCTAACTTCGCGAGAGCATAATTCCGTCAGTTTTCCATCAAATTTCGTTTTTTTTGGTGTCATTACAATCGGGAAAAGATTCTCTATCATTTCATAAGAAAAAATAATTTTTTTTTTTTTTTTTTTAAATTTTGCGACACCAGGAGACACCTCAGGATTGGGGGTTGCGACAGTCATGGGGTTAATGTTATCTCGTTAGTATTTTGGCATTGTGTTATCTACCTTGTTCAGTTAATACTTATCACGCCTGGTGTAGGTGTATAAGCACAAGCAAATTATAAGTTTCATTATTTATGTTTTTTTTTTTTTTTTCAACAAGTCGGCCGTCTCCCTCCGAGGCAGGGTGACCCAAAAAAGAAAGAAAATCCCCATCTTTCATCATCATTCAACACTTTCACCACACTCGCACATTATCACTGTTTTTGCAGAGGTGCTCAGAATACAACAGTTTAGAAGCATACACATACAAAGATACTATAGTATATTTATTACCTTACAGAATCCCCATTTGTACAGCTGGATGAAGAAAATAACAGAGTGCGGCCTAATTACAAGCGTTGTATTGTGATTCTCAGAGAAATCCCTGAATCTACTCCAGTTGAAGAAATTGAAGTAAGTTTTTTATCCTTCATTATTTTTGTTGAATAAAGTCAGCCGTGGGTAAGTTGCAGGTGTCGTCATATTATGTTAAAATGATGTTTATCCACAGTATGATGACTCAAATTATCTTAAAATGATTATGAAAGTAGTACTATCAAGTGGGCCAGTTGAGAGCAAAAATGTTAACCCTTACTTCGAGACCCTTAAAATTAATATTGCTCGTTTCTACATTTAAAAAGGAAAATGGGTAAGGAATCTTTGTCTAGAGGTAATGACACAACACCAGAGTGGTCAGGAAATGGAATGACCCTGATAAGGAAGTGGTAGAGGTAGACTCTATAAATTGTTTTAAGAATAGGTATGATATGGCCAACATGACTAGGAGAGACTGCCAAGCAGCAAGTTGAGAGGTTGGGCCAGGAGCTAAGACTACCTAGAGTACTGTCATAAATATATTTAGTTGATATTTCACAAATGACCTTTCCTGGCTGGATTCCCTGGGGATTTAGTTTATTTTAAACATTGCACTGTCTTTGCTGGTGAAGGTTTGTCATTCAGGCCTTGCCATTTAAAAAAAAAAAAAAAAACTCGATTGGCTATAAAATTGATATCGTTTGTATTCCAGTCACGAGTAAGGTAGCTTGCTGAAAGTGCCAGAAGAAACAGAAGGGAAGCAGCATGTGCAGCTTAACTACAATTGTTGCAATGGTTTCTCTTGTGGAAGGGATTGGCTCTGTTGGGGGCAGAGGAAGACAAATTTTTCTGTGGCCTTTTAGCATTCTCTCAAGGCTAACCAGCTATTTTCTTTTGCTTTTTCAGTCTGTGTTTAAGAGTGAGGAGTGTCCGAAGGTGGTATCATGTGAATTTGTCCACAATTCTTCTTGGTACGTTACATTTGAATCTGATGAAGATGCACAAAAAGCGTACTGGTATCTCCGTGGAGTAGTTAAAACATTCAAGGTGAGCTTTAGGAATTGTATGCAACTAGTCCTGCATGAGAGTATTTTTAGTACAATCTAAATACAAGGGTGTGAAACATTGCCATTAAACAAATAAAAATATGTTCAAGCTGAACATGGTTAAGTGTGGTGTCAAAATGAAGAAGCTAATGTAATGAATGGTAAATTTAACAAATGCGAAAAAGGTTGACAGCCTGATGCTGTCGCAGAGTTTTGAGTGAATCTCAAATTATTGAATTAATATGATTTTTCTGTATTGGATACTATTTCTGGCAGTGCCCCTATTCTGAAGTAAAAGAAATTGGGAAGAGATTATCATCAGTTTTAGGATAAAATAAGTGAAGGTGAACTAATGTCTTCATTGTGTTTGTACAACTTGTAGTACCCCAATTTCTAAATGTAAATTTTATTGGTATGTAGGTATAATGCTTCTCAGGAAACAGGACAAGTGTTTCCTGATGTGGGACTTTGTCATATGATGACCCTCAGCTGAAGCTTTTGGTCATCTGACTGAGGACTTCTGCTGGCTTACTGGTCCACCTCTGCACACACACAAAAAAAAAAAATTACACCTACCATCCCACTTACGACAGAGTTCGGTTCCGAGAAACCGGTCGTAAGTCGAACTTTACTACTGAATATCAACAAAACATTTTCGTAATGACGACTTTATTTTGTTTTATTTTGGTATTTCATGTTTTACTTTACTTTTTATGCTGTTAGTACTGTATTTTATACTGTAAGGTTTAGGAAAAACACTGTGTACAACACAAATAGTTGTTTATTTCCCAGAAATTTGGCATAAAAAAACACGGTCGTAAGTCGGATGGTAGGTGTATTAGTATTTGAACCATTGTTATTTGGATGACAGTATTGCTTAGTTTAGGCCAGTTTAATAAATTTATCCACTAAACAAATAATTTTTTTCTAGTTATTTAGCATAATTTTTTCTTAAATGCAGGGCAATCCAATACTAGCAAGAATAAAAACTAAGCCAATGTCAAGACTTGGATGCCTATCAGTATTGCCATCATATGGTAATAAAGGTGAGGGGAAAGAAGGTTCTGCTCCACCTGCTACCCCAGGATCAGCAGGTCTTCCAGGTGGACCTGGGACACCAGCTGCTCCAAGCAATTACACTAATCCAGGGAACCAAAGGTTTATGTACTCCACACCATCTTCTGTTAATGCTAGCTCCTACACGTATTCCTACAGTGCGCCCACCACGCAGCTACCAACTGCTTTTGTAAGTATTTTCATGTTTACATCCTTGATTGATAAAATTTATACTTGCAATTATTTTTTTTTTTTTTTTTTTAATAGCAAACTGGCCATCTTTCATCAAAGTAGAATGACCCAAAAGTAGACATACTTTCAACATTCACTCTATCATTGTCTTGCCAGAGGTGTGTAGATATTACAGTTTAGATGCTGATCCAAACTGCAAATATTCCCACCCCTACTTTAGAGTGCAGACATTACACTTCCCACCTCCAGCAGCTTTAGTCCCAAAAAACCATTTGCCACTACTTTCTCTCTCTCTCTCATATATATATTATATATATATTATATATATATTATATGTATATTATTTTTTTTTTTTTTTTTTTTTTTTTTTTTTTCAACAAGTCGGCCGTCTCCCACCGAGGCAGGGTGACCCAAAAAAGAAAGAAAATCCCCCAAAAAAAAAATACTTTCATCATCATTCAACACTTTTACCACACTCCACATTATCACTGTTTTTGCAGAGGTGCTCAGAATACAACAGTCTAGAAGCATAAACATATAAAGATACACAACATTACCCTCCAAACTGCCAATATCCCAAACCCCTCCTTTAAAGTGCAGGCATTTTACTTCCCATTTCCAGGACTCAAGTCCGACTATATGAAAATAAACCGGTTTCCTGAATCCCTTCACTAAATATTACCCTGCTCACACTCCAACAGTCGTCAGGTCCCAAGTACCATTCGTCTCCCCTTCACTCCTATCTAACACGCTCACGCACGCTTTCTGGAAGTCCAAGCCCCTTACCCACAAAACCTCCTTTACCCCCTCTCTCCAACCCTTTCGAGGACGACCCCTACCCCGCCTTCCTTCCCCTATAGATTTATATGCTTTCCATGTCATTCTACTGTGATCCATTCTCTCTAAATGACCAAACCACCTTTAACAACCCTCTTCTGCCCTCGACTAATACTTTTATTAACTCCACACCTTCTCCTAATTTCCACACTCCGAATTTTCTGCATAATATTTACACCACACATTGCCCTTAAACAGGACATCTCCGCTGCCTCCAACCGTCTCCTCGCTGCTGCATTTACCACCCAAGCTTCACACCCATATAAGAGTGTTGGTACTACTATACTTTCATACATTCCCTTCTTTGCCTCCATAGATAACGTTTTTTGACTCCACATATACCTCAACGCACCACTCACCTTTTTTTTCCCTCATCAATTCTATGATTAACCTCATCCTTCATAAATCCATCCCCCGACACGTCCCAAATCCCAAGTATCTGAAAACATTCACTTCTTCCATACTCCTCCTCCCCAATTTGATATCCAATTTTTCTTTATCTAAATCATTTGACACCCTCATCACCTTACTCTTTTCTATGTTCACTTTCAACTTTCTACCTTTACACACATTCCCAAACTCATCCACTAACCTTTGCAATTTTTCTTTAGAATCTCCCATAAGCACAGTATCATCAGCAAAAAGTAACTGTGTCAATTCCCATTTTGAATTTGATTCCCCATAATTTAATCCCACCCCTCTCCCAAACACCCTAGCATTTACTTCCTTTACAACCCCATCTATAAATATATTAAACAACCCTGGTGACATTACACATCCCTGTCTAAGACCTACTTTTAAACCGGGAAGTAGTCTCCCTCTCTTCTACACACCCTAACCTGAGCCTCACTATCCTCATAAAAAAATCTTTACAGCATTTAATAACTTACCACCTATTCCATATACTTGCAACATCTGCCACATTGCTCCTCTATCCACTCTATCATATGCCTTTTCTAAATCCATAAATGCAATAAAAACTTCCCTATCTTTATCTAAATACTGTTCACATATATGCTTCAATGTAAACACCTGATCTACACATCCCCTACCCCCTCTAAAACCTCCTTGCTCATCCGCAATCCTACATTCTGTCTTACCTCTAATTCTTTCAATTATAACCCTACCGTACACTTTTCCTGGGATACTCAGTAAGCTTATTCCTCTATAATTTTTACAGTCCCCTTTTGTCCCCTTTCCCTTTATATAAAGGGACTATACATGCTCTCTGCCAATCCCTAGGTACCTTCCCCTCTTTCATACATTTATTAAACAAAAGTACCAACCCCCTCCAACACTATATCCCCCCTGCTTTTAACATTTCTGTCATGATCCCATCAGTTCCAGCTGCTTTACCCCTTTCATTTTACTTTAATGCCTCACGTACCTCCCCCACACTTACATTTTTGCTCTTCTTCACTCCTAAAAGATGGTATACCTCCCTGACCAGTGCATGAAATTACTGCCTCTGTTTCTTCCTTAACATTTTAAAAGTTCCTCAAAATATTCTCGCCATCTACCCAATACCATCATCTCCCCATCTACTAACTCCCCTACTCTGTTTTTACTGACAAATCCATATTTTCCCTAGGCTTTCTTAACTTGTTTAAACTCACTCCAAAATTTTTTCTTATTTTCATTAAAATTTCTTGACAGTGCCTCTCCCACCTATCATCTGCTCTCCTTTTGCACTCTCTCACCACTCTCTTTACCTTTCTTTTACTCTCCATATACTCTGCTCTTCTTATAACACTTTTTGTTTTGGTAAAAACCTCTCATAAGCTACCTTTTTCTCTTTTATCAACCCTTTACTTCATCATTCCACCAATCACTCCTCTTTCCTCCTGCCCCCACCCCCCTTTATAACCACAAACTTCCCTGCCCCACATTCTAATACTGCTTTTTAAAACTATTCCAACCCTCTTCAACCCCCCCACTACTCATCTTTGCACTAGCCCACCTTTCTGCCAATAGTCGCTTATATCTCACCCGAACTTCCTCCTCCTTAGTTTATACACTTTCACTTCCTTTTTACTTGTTGTTGCCACCTTCCTCTTTTCCCATCTCCCTCTTACTCTAACTGTAGCTACAACTAAATAATGATCCGATATATCAGTTTGCCCCTCTATAAACATGTACATCCTGGAGCCTACCCATCAACCTTTATCCACCAATACATAATCTAATAAACCTACTTTCATTACGTGCTACATCTACCTTGTATATTTATTTATCCTCTTTTTCATAAATATGTTTTTACTTATTACCAAATTTCTTTCTACACATAGCTCAATTAAAGGCCCCCCCATTTACATTTACCCCTGGCACCCCAAAATTTAACCTACTACTCCCTCCATAACATTTTTACCCACTTTAGCATTAAAATCCCCAACCACCATTACTTCACACTTGATTCAAAACTCCCCACGCATTCACTCAACATTTCCCAAAATCTCTCTCTCCCCTCTACACTTCTCTCTTCTCCGGGTGCATACCCCGCTTATTATAACCCACTTTTCACATCCAATCTTTATTTTACTCCACATAATCCTTGAATTAAATACATTTATAGTCCCTCTTTTCTTGCCATAGCTTATCCTTCAACATTATTGCTACTCCTTCTTTAGCTCTAACTCTATTTGAAACCCCTGACCTAAATCCATTATATTCCTCTCCACTGAAACTCTCCCACCCCCTTCAGCTTTGTTTCACTTAAAGCCAGGGCATCCAGCTTCTCTCATTCATACATCCACAATCATCTCTTTCTTATCATCTGCACAACATCCACGCACATTCAGACTTCCCACTTTGACAATTTTCTTCTTCTTATTCTTTTTAGTAATCTTTACAGGAAAAGGGGTTACTAGCCCATTTTTCCCGGCATTTTTAGTTGACTTTTCAACACGCATGGCTTACGGAGGAAAGATTTTTATTCCACTTCCCCATGGATTTAAAAGGAAAAATTAATAAGACCAAGAACTATTAAGATAAAATCAAAGAAAACTCAGATGAGTGTGTATAAATAAATGTGTACATGTATGTGTAGTGTGACCTAAGTGTAAGTAGAAGTAGCAAGACATGCCTGTAATCTTGCATATTTATGAGACAGACAAAAGACATCAGCAATCCTACCCTCATGTAAAACAATCACAGGCTTCGTTTTACACTCACTTGGCAGGACGGTAGTACCTCCCTGGGTGGTTGCTGTCTACCAACCTACTACAATATATGCTTGTTAAATGTTGATGAAGATAGGGAAGCTGTGATTTCGTGTATAGGGCAAGGAGGAATAACATCTTGTAGGAGTGAGGAAGAGCCAGTTGTGAGTGTGGGGAAGTTCGTGAGGCAGTAGGTAAAATGAAAGGGGGTAAGGCAGCCGGGGATTGATGGGATAAAGATAGAAATGTTAAAAGCAGGTGGGGATATAGTTTTGGAGTGGTTGGTGCAATTATTTAATAAATGTATGGAAGAGGGTAAGGTACTTAGGGATTGGCAGAGAGCATGCATAGTTCCTTTTTTATAAAGGCAAGGGGATAAAAGAGAGTGCAAAAAATTATAGGGGGATAAGTCTGTTGAGTGTAACCTGGCAAAGTGTATGGTAGTTATAATTGAAAGAATTAAGAGTAAGACGGAGAATAGGATAGCAGATGTACAAGGAGGCTTTAGGAAAGGTAGGGGTGTGTGGACCAGGTGTTTACAGTGAAACATAAGTGAACAGTATTTAGATAAGGCTAAAGAGGTCTTTGTGGCATTTATAGATTTGGAAAAGGCGTATGACAGGGTGGATAGGGGGGCAATGTGGCAGATGTTGCAAGTGTATGGTGTAGGAGGTAGGTTACTGAAAGCAGTGAAGAGTTTTTACGAGGATAGTGAGGCTCAAGTTAGAGTATGTAGGAAAGAGGGAAATTTTTTCCCAGTAAAAGTAGGCCTTAGACAAGGATGTGTGATGTCACCGTGGTCGTTTAATATATTTATAGATGGGGTTGTAAGAGAAGTAAATGCGAGGGTCTTGGCAAGAGGCGTGGAGTTAAAAGATAAAGAATCACACACAAAGTGGGAGTTGTCACAGCTGCTCTTTGCTGATGACACTGTGCTCTTGGGAGATTCTGAAGAGAAGCTGCAGAGATTGGTGGATGAATTTGGTAGGGTGTGCAAAAGAAGAAAATTAAAGGTGAATACAGGAAAGAGTAAGGTTATGAGGATAACAAAAAGATTAGGTGATGAAAGATTGAATATCAGATTGGAGGGAGAGAGTATGGAGGAGGTGAACGTATTCAGATATTTGGGAGTGGACGTGTCAGCGGATGGGTCTATGAAAGATGAGGTGAATCATAGAATTGATGAGGGAAAAAGAGTGAGTGGTGCACTTAGGAGTCTGTGGAGACAAAGAACTTTGTCCTTGGAGGCAAAGAGGGGAATGTATGAGAGTATAGTTTTACCAACGCTCTTATATGGGTGTGAAGCGTGGGTGATGAATGTTGCAGCGAGGAGAAGGCTTGAGGCAGTGGAGATGTCATGTCTGAGGGCAATGTGTGGTGTGAATATAATGCAGAGAATTCGTAGTTTGGAAGTTAGGAGGAGGTGCGGGATTACCAAAACTGTTGTCCAGAGGGCTGAGGAAGGGTTGTTGAGGTGGTTCGGACATGTGGAGAGAATGGAGCGAAACAGAATGACTTCAAGAGTGTATCAGTCTGTAGTGGAAGGAAGGCGGGGTAGGGGTCGGCCTAGGAAGGGTTGGAGGGGGGGTAAAGGAGGTTTTGTGTGCGAGGGGCTTGGACTTCCAGCAGGCATGCGTGAACGTGTTTGATAGGAGTGAATGGAGACAAATGGTTTTTAATACTTGACGTGCTGTTGGAGTGTGAGCAAAGTAACATTTATGAAGGGATTCAGGGAAACCGGCAGGCCGGACTTGAGTCCTGGAGATGGGAAGTACAGTGCCTGCACTCTGAAGGAGGGGTGTTAATGTTGCAGTTTAAAAACTGTAGTGTAAAGCACCCTTCTGGCAAGACAGTGATGGAGTGAATGATGGTGAAAGTTTTTCTTTTTCGTGCCACCCTGCCTTGGTGGGAATCGGCCAGTGTGATAATAAATAAAATAAATAAAAATATATGCTACAATGTAAACACCTGATCGACACATCCCCTACCCACTCTGAAACCTCCTTACTCATCCGCAATCCTACATTCTGTCTTACCTCTAATTCTTTCAATTATAACCCTACCGTACACTTTTCCTGGTATACTCAGTAAGCTTATTGCTCTATAATTTTTACAGTCTCTTTTGTCCCCTTTCCCTTTATATAAAGGGACTATACATGCTCTCCTGCCAATCCCTAGGTACCTTCCCCTCTTTCATACATTTAGTAAACAAAAGTACCAACCACTCCAACACTATATCCCCCCCTGCTTTTAACATTTCTGTCATGATCCCATCAGTTCCAGCTGCTTTACCCCCTTTCATTTTACGTAATGCCTCACGTACCTCCCCCACACTTACATTCTGCTCTTCTTCACTCCTAAAAGATGGTATACCTCCCTGACCAGTGCATGAAATTACTGCCTCTGTTTCTTCCTTAACATTTAAAAGTTCCTCAAAATATTCTCGCCATCTACCCAATACCTCCATCTCCCCATCTACTAACTCCCCTACTCTGTTTTTAACTGACAAATCCATATTTTCCCTAGGCTTTCTTAACTTGTTTAACTCACTCCAAAATTTTTTCTTATTTTCATTAAAATTTCTTGACAGTGCCTCTCCCACTCTATCATCTGCTCTCCTTTTGCACTCTCTCACCACTCTCTTTACCTTTTTTTTTCTCTCCTTATACTCTGCTCTTCTTTAACACTTTGCTTTGTAAAACCTCTCTAAGCTACCTTTTTTTCTTTTATCACACCCTTTATTCATCTTCCACCAATCACCCTCTTTCCTCCTGCCCCCCCACCCTTATAACCACAAACTTCTCCCCCATTTTCAAAATTCTGCATTTTTAAAACTTTTCCCAAACCCTCTCAACCCCCCCCATACTCCTTTGCACTAGCCCCTTTCTCCCAAATAGTCCTTTTATCTCACCCAACTTCCTCCCCCCTTATTTATACACTTTCCCCCTCCCTCTTATTGTTGTTCCCCCTTTCCCTTTTTTCCCCATCTACCTCTTACTCTAACTGTAGCTACAACAAAATAATGATCCATAAAAACAGTTGCCCCTCAAAAACATTCTCCTGGACCTACCCATAACCTTTTTATCCACCAATACATTATCTAATAAACTACTTTATTACGTGCTACATCATAAAATTTTATATTTTTATCCTCTTTTTCATAAATTTTGATTTTTTTTTACCAAATTTTTTTTACACATAGCTCAATTAAAGGCTCCCCATTTACATTTACCCCCGGACCCCAAATTTTTCCTACTCTCCCCCCATAACATTTTTCCCCCTTTTGTTGAAATCCCCAACCACCATTACTCTCACACTTGATTTTAAAACTCCCCCCGCATTCATAACATTTCCCCCAAAAACTCTCTCTCTCCTCTACACTTCTCTCTTTTTTTTTTGGTGCATACATTTTTAAACCCCTTTTCACATCCGTCTTTATTTTACTCCACATAATCCTTGATTAATACATTTATAGTCCCTCTTTTCCTGCCAACTTATCCTTCAAAATTTTGCTACTCCTTCTTTAGCTTAACTCTATTGAAACCCCTGACCAATCCCCTTTTTCCTCTCCCCGAAACTCTCCCACCCCTTCAGCTTTTTTTTCACTTAAAGCCAGGACATCCGCTTTTTCATTCATAACATCCACAATCATCTCTTTCTTATCATCTGCACAACATCCACGCACATTCAGACTTCCCACTTTGACAATTTTCTTCTTATTCTTTTTAGTAATCTTTACAGGAAAAGGGGTTACTAGCCCATTGTTCCCGGCATTTTAGTTGACTTTTACAACACGCATGGTTTTATGGAGGAAAGATTTCTTATTCCACTTCCCCCATGGATATAAAAGGAAAATTAATAAGACCAAGAACTATTAAGATAAAATCAAAGAAAACTCAGATGAGTGTGTATAAATAAATGTGTACATATATGTGTAGTGTGACCTAAGTGTAAGTAGAAGTAGCAAGACATGCCTGTAATCTTGCATATTTATGAGACAGACAAAAGACATCAGCAATCCTACCATCATGTAAACCAATCACAGGCTTTCGTTTTACCCTCACTTGGCAGGACGGTAGTACCTCCCTGGGTGGTTGCTGTCTACTAACCTACTACCATATCAAAAAAAAATCCTGGAGTACGCAGTGCATAATGAGAAAAAAAAATCCGACCATTTTTTTTTATTAAAATGCCGACTTTGTGGTCTATTTTCGTATAGTGTTTATGGTTGTATTCTCATTTTCTTGGTCTCATTTGATAGAGTGGAAAACACATATAAATAGAGGTGATTTTGATTGATTTTACTATAAAAAGAACCTGCAAATGGAGCTCAAAGTAGGGGAAATGTTTGATTTTTGCCGATGTTCAACAGTAAACAAATGTCATTGTCCAATAAATGTCCAAGTAGCCATTCTAATATGCAGTCATGAATGGGTTGATGTTATTTATACAATTATTACAGTATTGCAGTAGTCTGCGTAATGGTAAATGTTCTATTTTTTGTTTGAATAAAAATTCAAAATAGAAAGCAAGAGTAATATGAGAGGGGCTGGAGACGTGACTGATGAACAAAGAAAATGTTATTTTAGATCCAGGAATGTCTGCATTGTTCACTCTGGACCTTATTTTGAAATTGTCATATTTCTTAATTTTCGTGAAATTGGCCAAATTGCAAATTTCTGACCACGGTATTGGGTAGTTGAAATCGGTAAATGGGCAGTATCTTGTACTCGGTCGATAGAAAAAACGGAGTTCTAAAGAAATAGCTATAAGTTTGGTCGACTGGAACAATGGAATTAGCCGAAAATAGGGCTCAAAGTGGGCGAAATCACAGACTTGTAAATATCGCCGAGGTCGCTAACTTCGCGAGAGCGTAATTCCGCCAGTTTTCCATCAAATTTAGTGTTTTTGGTGTCATTACAATCGGGAAAAGATTCTCTATCATTTCATCTAATTTTTTTTTTTAAATTTTGCGACACCAGGAGACACCTCAGGATTGGGGGTTGCGACAGTCAAAGGGTTAAGAGCAATGTGTGGTATAAGTATTATGCAGAGAATTCATAGTTTGGAACTTGGAGGAGTTGTGGAGTTACTAAAAGTATTATTCAGAGGGCTGATGAGGGGTTGCTGAGGTGGTTTAGTCATTTAGGATGACTTGGAAGGTGTATAAATCTGTAGTGGAGGTGGAGGGTAGGAGGGGTAGGGGTCATCCTAGGAAGGGATAGAGGGAGGGGGTAAAAGATTTCTTGTGCAATGGGCTTGGACATACAGCAGGCATGTGTGAGGATGTTAGATAGGAGTGAATGGAGATGAATGGTTTGTGGGACTATGAGCTGTTGGAGTGTGAGCAGGGTAATATTTTGTGAAGGGATTCAGGGGAGACTGATAAGGCAGACTAGTCCTGGAGGTGGGATATACAGTGCCTCTGCTTTAAAGGAGGGGTTTGGGAGATTGACTGTTTGGAGTGACAGCTGAACTGTCATATCTACACGCTTCTGCTAAGGCATTGATTGTGTGAATGACAATGAAAGTTTCTTTTTTGGATCACACTGCCTCGGTGGGAGATGACCAGTGTGTTAAAAAAAAGGATTAAAATGTATTTTTGTTTCAGTTTTATCCCAACATGATGCAGTGGACACCAGGGGGATACTACGACATCAATAGCTTTTTGCAGTTTAATGGCCTGTCACCACAAGCTGCATTTAAGCCTCCCACCAACCACAATATTAGATATCCAAGTAGTAGAAGGTAAGTTGGTAGGGTTATTTTAATATCTTAGCCTTTCCTTACTGTTGAATATATTACGGTCAGCCTTATAACCTAATTAATTTGTGAGTGTAATGTCATTTTGACCGTTTGCCACACGAGTTAATGCCACTTAAGTAATTTTTTTTCTTGGATGTTTTGTGTTGGATGTTGTTTTTACGGATGTATTTGAAGCAAGTCAAGCTAACAGTCTGTGTCTTGAGAATTATTGAGTAATCAAATTTAATTTTTAACTTGGAAATTTATATACAGTCTCTCCTCACTTGACGGAGTTCTGTTCCTGAGATCCTGTCGGTAAATGACTTTGTCACTAAGTGACGAGCATATTATAATGGTAATGGATTTGTGTCGTCCATCTTTGATATTGTTTTAATGCCACCTTTGCACCATTTATAACAGTGTTAGTATTTTTAAATGTTTATACAGTAGTGTACTGTATATTGTAATAAACAGAATAGAGGAAGAGAGCTCTAATATACATTATTTAGGTATGCACACTATTCAGAGAGCCCGTCGTAAGTTCAAGTCTTCGGTAAAGGAGTATGTCGCTAAATGAGGAGAGGCTGTATCAGATATAACATAGTAAGTTAATTATGAACTTGTTTCAGGGGTCTTTGTCCCAATCAACAGCTGCTTGACAATGTCTGTTGAACATGTGTTTACAGTTCATATTTTTATAGGCAATATATTTGTGGGATTTAAATATAAGACAGGTTTTTATGAGTGTAATAGCTCTTAACTTTAATTGCCCCTCTTAGAATAAGATTTTTAGCCCTTTGAGGGTCCATCCTGTAGTTCTATGGCCTTGAACCCTGGGTCCAAGCTGTAGTTCTACTCCATGAGCTCAGCTCACTCAGATGAGCTGTGAGTGGTAAATTTGGGCCTAGATATGAGGGAATATATCTGTGGTAAGTGTGCACCACATAAAACAAATCCTGCAGCACGCAGTACATAATGAGAGGAAAATCGTATTTTTGGATTAAAAGATCGACTTGAAAATTCTTGGATCTTGTAGACAAGCTTCAGATTGGGGGTCTGGACCCTGAAAGGATTAATTGATGCTTGAATTAATTTTTGTTAAATATGCATTTACAGAAACTCCAAACATCGAGATGGTCGCTATGACAAAGGTGACATTCGACACAGTAGTGGGGCTGGTCTGGGTAATAGTGGAAGTAGCAATCATAGTATTCATCCTGGTCATTATCACCCCAACTTACGACCTCATCCTAGTAACCCTAGACCTCATGCCGCACCATCCCCGTCTCAGGCATTACAGAGAGTTGGTCAACCTCCACCCACAAACACTGGTACTCATACTCCCCCACCACCCCCTCCACCACCCCCACCACCACCACAACCACCACAACCCCAACAACCCCAACCATCGACGTCTATATCGGCTGCTGCTGGTGGAAATAATCATGACAGCTTTGCTCATAGTGACTTTTCAATAGCTAGTCAAACAAATCTATATACATCTTTCAGTCCACCCATGCCAACTCAACCTGTGATCCATACAGAAAAGAAAGAAGTGGTGACTGTCTCTAAGGCATCTAGTAACAGTAGTACTCTTCCAGTATCATCGCAGTCCTTAGGGCAGACATCCACTAGCATTTCTAGCCCCCAATCCTCCAGTACCTCCATGCTCAATTCATCAACCACCGAAACTAGTTCTGTACCTGCTGCTGCAACCATGTCTACAACTGTTTCTGCTACAGTAACAACTAGCAGTACCTCTCCCCTTTAAACCAAAATCATCCCCCCCCTTTGCATCCTCTACCTCCACTCCATAGACATCAATATATACCACAGCAGCCCCTAGGACCGCCACCGCCGCCACCACCTCACCGCAACAATTACGGCAATGACCATTACACCACCCCCACAATAAAGAGATTAAAAAGAAGTTTGGTTTAAAAAATTATTAAATAAAAAAAAAAATTTTTTGGTTTTTTTTTTTTTTTTTTTTTTAAATTTAAATTTTTAAATTTTGATAATAAAAGTTTTAAAAATTTTTTAAATTGGGTTTTGGGAAGGGTTTGGGTTTGGGTGGATTGTGGGGTGGGGGAAGGGGAAATAGTGGGTGGAGGGGAAATGGGGTGGGGGTTGTTAGAAGAAAGAATAAAAAGGGGAGTGTTAAAATTTAAAAAATAAAAAATTTGATTAGAATGGTTTTAATATAAAAAATAATAAAAAAATTGGTTGGGGATTAGAGGGAAAAAATGTTAGTAGTGGTTAGGATTAAAAACACTTTTTTGAGAAATTTTATCTTAAAATATAAAAAAAATAATTGGAAGCCCCCATTTTTGTAAAAACTCTGCTCCTTTTTATTTTACTTTAATTTTAGTATGAAAAAATTTTTTAATGTAAAAACATTTAACCCCCTGAAAAATCTCTTTTTTAATGTGTTTTCTGGTTCACAAACCTTTGTCACGCTTATTTTTTCACTTTCCCCCCATTTTATTATCAAAAAATCTTCCACAACCCCTTGTGTCCCTTTTTAGCATATTTTTATTTGGGTTTTTAACCCCTAACCCTTTTCCTTGATCAAACCCTAAAATCCCTCCCTTTTCCCCGGGGCCTTTATGAAGCCTACAGATTTTGGCTCCCTTGGTAATATTGTGTTATTGTGTAATTCAAAACCGGATGGTATAATGATATTTTTTTTTAGGGACAAGGACACCCATGGGGAGAGAAATTGTTTAGTAAAATCAGTGCAGTTGATCTTTCTTCCCAAAATTTATAATCTTTTTTCCTTCACTAATTTTGGTTGTGGTGAGGTTTTTGATAACAGGTTCCTGTAGCAGAAGAAAACGGCCCCGAACCTATACGTCACTTGGGGGAAGCGAAAACCCCGTTTCCCGATGTCATGAGGGTAAGCAAAGCCCCGGGCCCAAAACTCATCCTCTCTAGGTGATAAAAAAAAAACTGCCCTTGGAACCATCGACTCCTACAAGTGGATTCCCCCTTCACCATCGGGAACAGTAACTGCTCACCCACTGTCGTTTCATTTAAACACACTCGCAAGCCTCCTCAAGCATCATCTACTTGTGCATTTAAATACCCCCATCAAACTCTAAGTGCTACACATAGCCCCAAGTATTTCGCCTCTACCCCTGAACTTTTACAATAGCACCCACATGTTCCCTCAAATATTTAAGTAATACAAGGTTAGTACATCAACGCATAGTAATAAACTTGATGGGAGACCAGTTCCACGTGATCAGCGTGGAGCCCGTGATGATAGAAGACCTGGTGCTAATGGAGGGCCACGTGGAGACAGACGGGATTATGTTAGGGACCATCCCAGAGAGTACCAGAGGGACCACCAGAGGGATGCTGTTCGAAGTGCTGGGGGTAGAGAACGTGACCACAGACTTTTAAGAGATGGCAACCCTCGGACTGGAAAGGAAAATAGACCTCTTCCCTCAAGACCGTGGAAGGAAGAGAAAGTGGATGCTGATGGTTGGATTACTAAAGGTCCCAAAGAGTCGCGTTGTCAACGAGAAATGAACAGAGATCAGTGGGAAAGGCCTGAGGCACGTGATACTAGGACACACCATCTGGTTAATGGGGACTCCTCTCCCCCTTCTTCACCTAA